AGTCTGTGTTCAGTGAAATCCGGCCGAATAGTGGGTCGTAAAAACACGCAAGTTTTTTTGCATTACAACTAGAAAGCAAACTGCTCCAGGTGTGTGTTTTACGATTGAACAACAGCCGAATTCACGGGAACATGAAGACTCCTTGGGCTGACTGCGCCCTAAAACTCGCCTCGCCTTCCACTCAACGCATCGGAAAGGATATTAGAGCAAGCTCTTCGTTATTCACTCGAAGGGCGTCCGATGTAACTTCTGAGGCTTTCTCCACTGCGATGAGCGGAGATCGCTATGAGGGGCCTAAGCATAATCGCGGTCACTCTGACGCCATCGCAATTAATATGAATTTTAATAGTTATTCAAGTTTGGCTAGAATATTATTTTTCACCATTCCTGTTTTGTTCTGTTTTGTCTTTCTTTTTAATGGTCTCTTCGACCGAGAAAAAAAAGAATAAAAAAATACCAATCTCATTTGTTCTCTTTTATTTTATGTATAATGTTCCATACATTTCTATGAATATGATGAGCCTGACCATTTGGTCGCGGCAAATATCCAAGTATACAAAATAAACACAACTTCAAATAGCCAAGGTGTTTTTGATCCCTCTCGTTATTTTTATTTTTATCATAATGATGACAGTAATAATCCAGTTAAATACAGCATTTGTATTATTATGTAATTACTAACAAAAAGAATTTTTCAAATCAACCTCTATGAATTCAATGGTGCTACTATAACTTGCACCTTCTTTGATATGCCAATTTATCAATTTGCTAAAGCTTCACCTATTAAAGTTTTCATATCTCATATAAGCACATAGATTACTATTTTTGTTTTTAATGAGGGTCAACATCTTAGATAATTCAATGAGTCAGAAAGCATGCATTTTCTGAACTCTGCAGAAAATATAAAGAAAAAATTGGTATTGTTCTAATAATGAAGCACATAACCAAGCAGGAAAAATGAGCAAGCATTAAATCAAAACTCTTGAAAACCACTATTGAATCTCTTGTCACGGTATATTCTTATAGACGGAAAGAATACTATACTACTGCAAACCGAACTACGTTGTTAAACAATGTGTGAAAACGCATGTTTACTAAGAATCGACCCCTACAGTGATTATCTTCTACAAACCACTACAGACTGTACCTTCTTCTCCACCGATTCAAACTCCCTGTTTCTTACCAATTCCCTTTAAATGCACATCTTTGAAGTGCATCACAGTAGCTCTATCTCACGGTATAGCTTGAAATGCACAATTGCTCATAGATTACTGAATTCCTCAACGTATTTTACAACATTCCGCAAGCCTACCACACTAGTGTTCTGGTAGAATTACATCATAATCACATAACCTGATATATCCAAGTCACCGTGAACAGGCATTCTAAAAAATTTCCGCAAACTTCTATTTTATAATTACTTCCCATAACAGTTCTTGGTATTAAATCCTTTCGTTAAGCCAATTGACATATCTTATCGTGTTGGGGATGTTTTTAACACAGCCAAAGATCACAAAATTAACAAAACAGTTTTTTTCTAACTCGAGTGTCTTATATGCTTAATAAAAAAACGAGATTGTGGATTTCTAATTGCCATTTCTTCTTGTTAAATTGCTTAGAATTTGTAATAATTTCCTCAAATTTAACTGCTTACAGTTTTGTGTCCTCTTCAAAAGTGTGTTCTTCAAGGACAGCTTCGGTAGCCGAAGGTGACTTTAGACGCGTTGAAAATCTTGATTTTTTCCCTCGTCTGTAAAAAAAGCAAAACAAGGAAAAAGAAAAGAATTACTCAATCGCTATTATCTTGCAAAAAAAATCATTTGTGTAAAAGCCCCTTTCTGTCATTTACTCAGTCAGTCAATCAGTCAGTAAAACAGACTATCAATCAATCTTTCGGTTGGCTGCTAAGTTGGGCACACGCATAGCCAGTCAGTGAAACAGTCAATCAGTTGTTCTGGTGATTGACCAGCATTCGTTCAGTCAGTCGGTCAAGTAGTCAGTTGGTCGGTTAAAAAGTTGCTCAGTCATTTCGGTCAGTAAGTCAAACAGTCAGTCAGTCGGCTGGTTAATTAGTGAGTAGGGAAGTTAGTGAGTCAGTACTCAGGTAAGTCCGCTAGGGACAGTCACTCTTTCAACCGTTTAACCATTAGGTTAAGGAGCTTCCTAGTGGGCAAATAAGCCAGTAATTAAAATAATTCAGCGGTTAGTTTGTCGGTGACAACGTCCATCAACTTTGTGATACGAACAGGATGTCTCTCTCAAGATATGTGAACTTGTGTATATCCAGCTGCTCACCACTTACTTCTTTTCGGTGGAATGCCTGAATTTATCGTCTCCTTTTTTCAAACTCTGGTTCCGTTTTCCTAACATGAAAAGAACAAAGTAAATAAAATCACATATTTGATGAGGTACTTAATACGCTGTGGCAACTGCTTAACTTGATGGCACCGGTTAACGACATTCTAAATGTAATTCTCTTGAAAATTAGCTTCTATGTAATAGGATCAACTTGGAGAGGAACTTCTATTTGCTGGACTATAGGGTGATTCTGTTGTTTCATGTACAGCATTCAGGAGAATGGTTTATAGTATTTATTAACTTTAATTTGAACATAGAGTTTTTATTATTTTTCTGTGCACCATAATGCATCTTATTGTGCGGTGCAGAGGAAAAAAAAAAATTTTCTGTGAACTTAACTTTCCATCTGATTCAAATACGTGATACGAAATTTCTTTGCGTTTATTAAGAGACTTCTTCCGGTTGTTGTAATCGGAACTTTAATTTTGTGATTGAGGTCACTGTGAGCCCGAGAGAAAATTACGTCGTTTAAGAGACTCAGAAAGTTCAAGCTCTTGCCCTCCTTGCTCTTTGTTAAATAAAAAAAAAAAAAGAAGACACAAATAAACAGAGAACTGTGGGGTAATCCGCAGGGTGATGCTGGAGAAATAAACCGAGTTAGCTTCTTTTTGTTTTACTTCGTTGGTTTGTTTGTTTTACCGAGGTATTCCAAATAAATTCGAAGCAAAATTTGTTTTATTTGATGAAGCAGCAAATAAAGGAAAAATGAATAAAAATACGAACGAAAAAAATTTTAAAAATTTTTTTCTGCAAGATGTCGGCGAAACGAAGAGGATATAATAATGATAAGACTCATCGAAATTCGCACCAGAACATTGCCCTTTTTGCGAAACAAACCCAAAGCCAATTAAAACGGATAAAAAACCCGAAATACGTTGCTTTCGTGGTCGTGATATTGCATTCACCAGGTATCAAACACTTGTAATATTACACATAATTGATGGATGTCAAACTTAGGGATTTCTTCAGTGTTTCGTCATTTTCATCTTTTGCTTGACAATTTCTTGAAAGAATTGCTTAAGAATGTTAAAGCTCCCAAATAAGAATTACATGAGTCTATACTCAACTAGATGTTTTCATACTTATTGCCGTTCATTTTTTCCGCAACCTATTATGGAAAATCTCAACTTATTGCAACCAAATTTCGCTCACTTGCATTAAAGAATTTTATCTCATAATCTTCTTTGAGATAATTGATATTCTTTGAGATGACCACCAGTTTTAGTGGTAAGAAAGCTAGCTGAGAAATTAAAAGCTACTTCATTCAGAGCTTAGCAATGCGTGAGGGAGGTAATGAGATTCTTAACTGATCGATACACAGGAGAGCTTGACAGTCCTTAGAAGGTCCGTCCATTTCTAATACAGCAACACTGGATAAGTTGTCAAACAAACAAAGAATAGCGACCAATTTTCTCATGGAAATGATAGGCTATAGATTTTTAATAAAGAAGGTAAGAAAAAATACCTTGATTTGGATCAGCATACCCAATAGGTGCCGGTTCGATTCTTTCGGCTTCATCAAGTCCTCCTTGAAAAAAAATGGTAAATATTGTCATTCATTGTGTTTTAGACTAATAAACAATATTGTACCTTATTTTCCATTATCTTAGTATCGGTGATTGTTTCAGAATCAAGTTAGACTATTGTTTTTTCTTTATTTCAGATAATGATAATGACTGGAGACAAAGAAATTTTTCAAAACTTTTAAACCTGACAAAATTGTCTTAGAACACGAGATTCGTAAAATTTAGAACTAACGTAATAAACGATGAATGTTGGATAACTATAATGTAAATTAACTTCATTGATTTGTGTCTATGAGAATATCCAGCTGTTCCAGATCCCTCCAGAGGTACAGAAAAAGATAAAAACTACCATTAATACAACATATTGTAGAGTCTTGGCAATATAAACTAACAGAACAACAATGAAAACTTCAGTACGGAACTGTTGTTTATATAAAGATGACATAAGAGGAGAAACTTTAGCCTACCCTGTTGTGAATGACGCACATCAACATTTGCCACTTCTATAACTACACCCTCGACTTCCCCTTGAAAAAAATATTAAATAAAACATATAGTCAGAGATTGCCTCTGTGTTGTCATTCTCAGTTTTCATGATGTCCGTACTGTGTTCTTTAAAAAGAAAAAATGTCTTACCTCCCAAGCCGCCATGTTGTTCAATGTCTTCCTGTTGGTTCAGTTGTTCTCCATCTCCTTTTTAAAGAAAGCAAAGAAAAAAAATTGTGAACGAGCCAGAAAACAAATAAGAAATTTTGTAACGAACGCAGAACGAGATTTACAATTTCAAACTATTAAAACGTAATGGACAAGAAAGATTGGGTAATTAAAATGATAATAGTAAACTTTATGTGTGTGTAAAGAAATATCCTAAAGTCACAGTTCCTTCAGTTATAGAGGACACGTTACGAAATCACCAGAGGTACAATATAAAATAACAGAATAGCATTGAAAACTTTACATTGAATTAGAAACTCTTGCCTTACCTTGTTGTGGATGATTCACACCAACACTTGCCAGTTCAATTTCTTCACCCTCAATTTCTTCTTGAAAAAAGAGAGTAGATAAAAAATGTACACAGACTAACCCTGTGCGCTTAGTTGAAATTTTCATGATATGTTAATTGACACCTAAAAGATTTTTACCACCATCGCCGCCATGTTCTTCATTGTCTTCCATTCCGTGCTGGTTCACTTGCTCTCCCTCTCCTTGGCCTATGTAAAGAAAAAAAAAACAAGAAAAGAGGTTTATGAAAAAACAAACAGGAAACATACAAATAATAGAGAGAACGAAAGTACTAAGAAACGAAAGAAGGAATGGGTTCTAGAATTTGAGATTAACGTGACGAACAGATGAAAGAAGGTTGGATGATTAACTGTAAAGATAATAATAAACTCTATTTGCGAGTATGAAAGTATCCAGCAGTCAAAGATCCCTCCGGTAACAGAGCACAAAATAAAATCATTAGGGAAACAATTCAAAACAAACAGATCAGCAATGAACACTTCAACACGGTATTTTTCTTCCAGGCAAGAATTACATTGGATTAGAAAACTGCAGCCCTCCCAGTAAGGGATGATGCACACCAACATGTACCAGTTCCATTTGTTCACCCCCACCTTCTCCTTAAAATGAAGACGTTATATGGAAATATTTTTAGTCACAGATCGCCCTTTATTTCCCTCATTTACAGTTTTCACCATGTTTCCAGAAATACGCGTTAGGATTTACCCCCCTCGCCACCTTGTTGTTCGTTGTCTTATATTCCCTGTTGGTTCGGTTGCTCCCCATCTCCTCGGCGTTTTAAAGAAGAAAAACGAAGAAAAGTCAATGATCGAGTAGTTCGTACAACAAATGAAGCGACCAATAAAAGAACGAAGGAGCGAACGAGTGAATAAATGATTGAATGAATGCCTCCATGCATGTATGAGTGAATTGATTTATGAACGAGTGACTGAAGGAATCAGTCAAAAACTATATTTGCAGCAATCTATTAGTTTACACTGTTGTTCGGTTTATTTCTTATGAGGAGCTGTTAGCTGTATTTTTACTTCTTCAAATATGTGATAATTACATCGCACCTTCCTGATCACGACCACAGCAGGTGAAAACGGTCTTCAAGTAGTTCCAAACTTTTTCCATTTTGTTCTTCAGAATGCCTCTGACCTGGAAACGCAATAGCCAAAAGTAATCGAGATTTCGCTCACTTCCTTGAACTGGGCTCCGATGACAAAATAGAAACTAACGAATTTCTCCTGTGCAGTGCCTTTAAAACATTTCAATGTCAATTGCAGGTAAAGAGAGCAGCCTTGAGCAAAATTATACACTGCTTCGAATCGGCTGAAAACCATTACCCTTCCTGTAACTAGCCATTATTAATCTACTTACGGATCTAATTTATTATCTTGATTACTTATAATGGATTAAAAGCGCATAACTACCTGTTCTGTTGAAAAGGTGTACAGGATAGGATTCAAGGCCGAGTTGATCGGAAGGACAAACACAGCAATCCAGACAGCGAAGTCTCCTTGCGCTTTGTAAGACTTCTCGATGATGGTCCTCATACCAATCACTATCACCGGCATCCAGCACACACAATCACTTAGGATGATGAAAAACACCCGCCTTGCAAGAGCCGTTTCCCTCCTAAAGTTTGCTCTTCTGGCCTGGATCTCTCTTTCAGTACCCTGACGGGCCAGTCGCCGGCTAGACAAGTAAGACTTGACTAGTATCATGAGATAAGCACCCATGATGAACAAGAAAAAAGCAAAATTCAAAGCGAGAAAGATAGCGACAGAATACTCCCAACCTGCCGGCTTATCAGAAGTAAGCTGCAAGGGCAGACATACCACACTTCTACCATAATAACTATGGTACCTGAAAGGGTCTTCAAAATATTGAATACCAAACATGGGCAAAAAGGCCATAAGGAAGCCAATTGCCCATATGATGATGCATAGGATATGTGTTGCCTTTGGTTTCAGAGAAGCACCCTGATAGGGAAACACAATATTTTTAAGCCGATCAGCAGATATCAGAGTCATCATCATAACCGACACCTCACTTGACAGGAGGGAGATCGCTCCAATTATTTGACAAGACAAACCAGACCTCCACTGGAAGTCATGCAAGTAATACTCTCCTCTCCACAACAGATCTCTAGTGCCAATAGAGACCAGGTAAATACCCATCAAACCATCGGACACTGCTAAGTGGAGCAACATGATAGACTGTACCACGTTCTTTTCTTTAAAGATTACTCGCCACGTGATAACAAACACTGCACCAACCAGAGAAAAGATTCCTATCGCCCAGATACTCTTTCTCGGGGCAGAATTCTTAAACATGCTCTCACAGTTGGCAAAGTCGTCGTTATCAATGAAAGCACATTCAGCGTCCTCCTTGTGCATATGACAACACATCAGATTTGTGTCCAAACTCCTGCAACCGTAAAATTTGATGCTATTCAGTTCATAAGGATGAAGTGAAAGATAAAACCAAAAGCCTATACCCTAAAGCCACAAAGGTAACGCGAGATCAGTCCATCATAATTCATTTCCTCATATGGGGGTTTTTGTGACTATAAATCTTCATTGAATATCTTCGAAAATTTTTCTTGAAATATTATAAAGCAATGTAGTGCGCAATAGCAGTCTTTGTGAGGCGTATTACCCAACAAAATGGAGGTTGTTATAAAAGTCGTCAATAGGGTAAGAATACCGACCATAGATATTTAGTAAAGTATAGAAACCACATAGATTTGCCTGAAGCTCTGGGTTAGTAAATATTTGAATTAAAGGAACCCCCAGAAGCTTTCTATTCATATGGCTCAGCTAATAAACTGTAAATGTATCAAATACGTCACATCAAATCTTACACTCGTAATATATCCTTCAACTCTTTAAAAAATCCGTAGGGAATCTCCCTCATGTGGTTATAATGCAAATATCTGAAAATTAGATATTTAAAGACAAGAATATAAAGATGAAATCAGTGAATAGAAGAGCATTTCTGGAGTATTGCTTCAAACTTAGTATATCGATTTGTACTTTTTTAACTCGTGGATACGCGATAGCGTAGAAACGAGTTGTTGTGGGCACTTTAGGATATGGAAATTAGCTTGGACTCTTCGTAATTAGTCGCAATTAGTCGGCTCCGAATTCGAGATCTATACTACCGAAGAAGTCCGAAGTCCTGACGACATTGTGATCGTATCGATCGTTGCGAAGTTTATTGTCTTGACACGGCTGTTTCGACATTTACTAAATTGAAATGGACTTCGAATGTTTCAGATTAGTGCTAAGATCAGTTTCAAGATCAAGTACGAAGGGTTTTGGAATCGTCCATGCGCTAAACATAACGAGGAGCAGCGAGAATCGCAGCAAGCTGCTGACATGGAGATTCCCACGGACGTTTTTGGACGTTTCGGCAGCTAAGCCAATTTCGGTCTTTTCGCTATGGTCGTTTCGTTTTGATGTTTTTCTATTGTTAGAAGATTATTATTCACCACAGTTCAACTTATTTCTTTTGACATAAGTCCACACTGTTCTACTTTGCTATATTCTCTCTGATTGAAAGATGCTGTGCACCAGCTTATAAAGGTGACACCAAAGATGACACTTCTAAGCTTTCAATCTTCTTACATCGCGATCGCTCCGTTTCAGCCAGCGAATCACGCTATAGTACGTACGACAGTTCGAATTGTTTACTGAATGACAAAATCATCTTCTACCTTAAATTTCTTAATTTTACGGTTAAGACCGGCCAGAAAGAAGGCAAGATTGATAATATAAAAATTATAATTAACCTACTGGCAGAATTGAAATTACGCTTGAAAAGATAGTTTACGAGAAAATAGCCTTAGAGGATTGTTATACAACAACAGAGTAAACAGAAAATTTGGAGAAGAGGGGCGTACTTAAGGTACCGCCCCTAAGAAAACTACGTGTTATTCGCATAAGTTATATAATTACAAATTCAGTGTGGAGATGAAAAAGCATAAGCTATTTACAATCATAGTCACCTTTTTTTAAAAAGAGGTGTTAAAGGTGTTAACTTAAAATTTGAGAAATATCCTGGAATCGTGAATTTGACTTAGAATTTGACCAAAAAGAACCAGTCTGATAGTAATCAATAGTATAAGAAGCAAGAGTTTCCAGGAATTCCTGTGCGAGGTTAACTTTTACCAGAGAGATTTACCACTAGAAAATTGACATAATTAAAAACATAGCTTATCACAAAATAGTACAACAAGATCTAATCACCGTAGAAACAGAGCAACTGTCTCCGTACCAAATTCACAACCGCAATAAGAAAAAGGTAAAAGAAATTGTACTTAGATGAGATCGCCAAGAGGAATAAGAAATAATCAACCTGTCTTATTATAATTTTTGCATCGAATGACTTAAAGTAATATAATATTTCCATTCTTTTTCCCAAAACCAATATGTGGAAACCCTTACAATACCGTAATGATTCGATTTAGCGCCCTCCTTCCAAAAAGCGCCCCCTTCGAATGTGTTTTTGTCAATAAGCGCCCCCATTCTAATAAGCGCCCCCATTCTTATAAGCGCCCCTATTCTAATAAGCGCCCCTGTTCTAATATTACAGCGCCTTCAGAATACCGTACGTATCAAACGTGGTTCATCTTCCTTTAATAGCCGACATACCGTACGTAATAATGCATTACAAAAACAGTGGTCTTCGTTTGAGTTTCTCAACTGTTATGTCCAAATGAGTACATAATTCCTTCAAACGAGTAATCTTTTCTTCAAATTTTGTGGCGATTGCTCTGCTGGTTGTTCTCACTAGGAACGCTCCGGGGACAACAAGTCCGTTTTTCAGTCTTCTTGATCCAGTCACTTTGACCTATACTTTATTCTCATGGCGGGCTTTGAGAAATGTGAATATAAGGAAGGAAAGTTCCATTGGCACATGCCCAACAAGTTTGCTATCAGCTTCATGGTTAGTCCCAACTGCGTAGTCATCGTGTTCTTTAGCTTCTTTACGGTCATCATTCCTGCATGCCAGAGACGCTCTTATGACTGGAGACCACGCCGCTTTGTAAACATGATGACCTCGTATAATAGACGAAAATTCCACTTCATAAACAAACATCGAATTCCAAATCAAGTGATAGTCAGAACACGCCATAATCGTAGATATTTAGCACTGGTAATTTCGGCGCGTAGCTGCTTTCCCGCTTCTTCCTCATAATTTATGACATTTGCATTGTTCCTACATTCGGTGAATCATTAACAGCTTCAAGCAGTCACGTTCACTTGCAATCCTAAACCCATTCTTACACGTATCCAGCTGTGTACAGTGATCACTTTGTGTAAAAACATGGAGGCTGATGCTTCTCAGTCTCATGCCGCCAAAAAGGTCAATTCTTATTCGACAGAATTTAAACTAGAAGCCGTACGGTTTGCCGTGGAATGCAATAGTAACTATCAAGCAGCGAAGAAGTTCAACGTGGACCAGAAGGGAATACGAGAGTGGTGAGCAAACCAGAGTAAATTAGAATCTGCTAGTTGCAAGCGAAAGCGGCTCGCCGGGGCGGGAAGAAAGCCTTTTGATCTGGATATTGAAGAAGAGTTGTTGGAATGGGTCCACGGACGATGCTCTAATGGTTTTCGTGTATCAAGGAAAATGATCAGAAGCAAAGCAAGGTTTCTCTACGAGGAGAAATACAAGGAAATGGAACTTCCTCCAACATTCAAGGCAAGCATTGGATGGGTGCAGAAGTTCATGACCAGACATGAGTTATGCATACGGCGCAAGACAACGGAATCCCAAAAGGATCCCGAAAAACTAATTGACAAACTGATCGCATATGTGTTCAAGCAAGACGGCTACGTGTAAAGTTCTCCTACAGTGACAGTGACATTATAGCAATGGACGAAACAGCCGTTTGGAAAGACATGCTTTCCAATACAACTGTTGATTCCATCGGCCACAACACCATAGCCATGAAAACAACTGGTCACGAGAAGACAAAGGTTTCAGTTTGCTTAACAGCGAAAGCAGATGGAACGAAATTGAAGCCTTTTATCGTCTTTCCCGGTGCTAAGAGAGAAACCAAATTACTCAATGAAGAATTTAAGGCTAAATGTGTTGTAGCATCATCTTCTAATGGGTGGATGAAAGAAGAACTGACCCTTGACTGGGTAAGAAGTGTTCTGGGGAAGTTTTCATTCACCCGACGAATCTTGGCGTGGGATTCGTTCAAGTGCCACGTGATGGACACAGTCAAACAAGAACTACGCACGTCAAAGATAGATCCTTTAATCGTCCCAAGGGGTTGTACGAAATACATTCAAGCGCCCGACGTGGTTTGGAATAAGCCTTTTAAAGCAAATGTCACGGAGAAATATGATGAATGGATGGCTGGTGAAGCCCACTCTTTCACTGCAGCGGGAAACATGCGTGCTCCAGCCCGGAGAGAGATAGTTAAGTGGATCCTTGCGGCGTGGGATGGCTTGGACAAAACAATGATTATCAATTCATTCAAGAGCTGCGCGCTAACCGTTGCAGTGGATGGATCAGACGACGGACACATAAACTGCTTCAAGGAAAATCAACCCTGCCATGCAGGTCTACAACGGCTCGAGGTTGTTCAACAAGCCATGAGCAATTCACACGACAAGGATCCTTTCGACGGGATCACAGAATCCGACTTCGAGGATGCGGCACCAGATAGCTTGATAATTGACGTAAGTGACACTGAAGTCATCGACATCGAATACGGTAGATAAACTCACGAACATTTAACGTACCGTAAATGTATACTTGTTACAGCTACGGTATATAAAATGAAGAATTCTTTTGAAAGTAACTGAACTTTCAACAATTTGTTACTGTTACAGTTTTTGTTATTGTTAGTTGTTTTAATATTTATTAAAGTTATGCATTAACCATTTGGTTGTTTCTCAAAAACTTAAATAAGCGCCCTGTCCCGAATAAGCGCCCTGTCTCGAATAAGCGCCCTCCCTTGAGGTACCAAAAGTAAATAAGCGCCCCGGGCGCTAAATCGAATCATTACGGTATTTCAGATCAAATATAGTTCTATTTTTATCTTTTAACACTATGCAAACGTGACTGTTTTGATGGTAACAATGAAATATCATTTTATGATTGGTTGCCGAGCACATGACCATAATCTGGCCGGTGTTGTTTTGATCACTTGACGAACTTTGTCGCTCAAAACGCACGACGACTATCTATTTCAAGGAATGCTCTTCCAGTTAATTTCTATCGCATCCGTGTAAATAAATACAAGCATATGCGTGTACTGAAGAACAAAAGAGAAATTTAAAACTACAAGAAATTGCAAGTAATAGGCCTCTTCTGCTTCGCATGGGTTTTTTTGGTGTAACATGGGTGTGTTTCCCAGATGTTAAAAGCACTTTACGCACGTGGGAATGCTGCAATCACGGTATGAGTGATAGTGATTATGTGCGATATTTTGCTTCATCACTCTTTGCCATTTCTACCACATATAAATTCAGAGAGGGGGACGGGGAGGGGGGGGGGGGAGAATAAGGGTTCAAACTCTTAGAAATAGGCGAACAAGGTGCCGCTGGATAGGGTCTCATTTTCACGACAGCATTGACTTTTATGGCGTTGCATTTTCAGCTATTTTTAATAGAGTTACTAGAATGGGGTTACACATTTTTGAGATTTCAGGCGTAAGAAAATTATGGCAAGTAAGGATTCATTTAGGAGGAAGATTCATGGTAAAAAAGTTTACCATATTTTAATATTTAATAAACGGCTCCAAATCCATTCCGGTCTTGCCCAAAAGCGGACAAAGACGTGGTCTATAACTGGCCACAACATAGGTTGAAATACGGCAGAGGTTCTGAGACACTAGCTGCACATACCCAGTAAAAAATGACCCATGTACTTCCCCCCCCCGGGGGGCTTTCCATCACATACTCAAGTGCTATAATTTCTATACTTGCAATGGTTCT